CAGATAGGTGCACTCTCCTTGCTTTACATTCCTCTCTCGTCCTGTCTAAGCTCGATTATGGTTGCCCTGCTTACTCGTCTGATTCTCCTTCTACTCTTCGCCGTCTTGATTCTTTGCACCATACTGTGTTGCCTCAGTTTTGGTGCCTTTTGTTCGACTCCCATCCTCAGCTTGTATGTTGACACTGGCTTCTTATCTCTACAGGACCACTGTTATCGCTACTGTCTTCGCTATCTTGCGCGGTCCTTGCAACATCCTTCCTCCCACCTCCGTCGGGCTTTAACTTTTACCCCTCCTGCGGTTCCAGTTCCTCTTCACCACCTCCCTCTTTCTGTCGGGTTATCTCGCTTACAAAATTCTCTTTCCGTTCGTATTTCTAATATTTCTCCTCGTGTTGTTCCTTCTTTGCCCCCGTGGAGGGTCCCTCTTCCGCGGTTTTGTACTTCCTTGACCCGTATCACTAAAGCTTTTACCCCTCCTACGGTTCTAAAACGCCTTTTCCTCGAGCACTTTTCTTCTCACTCCCGCTCCGTTTCTGTCTTCACCGATGGGTCTAAGTCAGCGGACGGTGTTGGCTACTCTGTTGTTTTTCCTGATCGCACTTATATGTGTCGCTTGCCTCCGGAGACTAGCATCTTTACAGCGGAACTTTATGCTATTCTCTATGCTCTTCGTCTCCTGCTTTCTCGTTGTCAGTCTTCCTTTGTGGTTGTTGTTGACTCTCGTAGTGCCCTCATGGCTCTCGGGTCCTATAATCCGGTTCATCCAGTAGTTGTCGAGATCCAGCATTGGCTGTTTCTCGTTCACAGTAAATTTAAGTCGGTTGAGTTTTGTTGGGTTCCCAGCCATATTGGTGTGTCTTTAAATGAGCGTGCGGATGCTGCCGCTAAGGAAGCTGTCCGCTCTTGTCCCATCTCTCGCAAAGGCATTCCGTATTCCGACTTTTACCCGGTTATCCATTCCTCAGTCCTTACCCGTTGGCAGGCTTCTTGGTTGTCTGTTACTGGTAACAAGCTACGTACTCTTAAATGTTGTGTTTCCTCGTGGCCGTCCTCCTTCCACCGTAACCGGCGGTGGGAAACAGCTCTGGCGAGGTTGCGTATTGGCCATACTCGCTTAACCCATGGTCACTTGATGGAGCGCCGCCCTGCTCCTTATTGTCCTAGTTGCATTGTCCCTCTTACGGTCGTGCATGTCCTTCTTGAATGTCCTGACTTCCAGGACGAGCGTGTGTCTTGCTTTCCGACCGCCCCTCGCGGTCACCTGTCCCTCGATAGAATTCTTGGTGACTCGGATACTTTTGATATCGTTCGCCTTATGCGTTTTTGTTCTCGTATTGGCATCCTTGGTGATATTTAGCGCCCTCTGATTATTTTGCGTATTTGATGGTGCTACATAGCCTTCCCGGTTTGGTGCCTTCTTTTGATAATTACTTTTATTGTCAATCCCCCTTTCGTCACTGAACCCGCTCTCGACGAACTCGCGGTTCTTAAGGTGGCGTTTGTGGGGCATACACTCACGACGCACACCTGGGGGGCCCCGGCAAGATCAGCGATAGCTTCTTGTTGGGTCTCCTGCCTCTAATTGTGACTCCATGGTGGGTGTGGGGGCACATTCGTGAACGAAAGTTTTTTTCCTCGTTTTCATGGCTGATAATGTTTCCCTTGTTCCTTCTTGGGCTCGTAGGGTGGGCGACCAAGCCCCCGAGTCGGACTGTGTTGGAAGACCAGGCCCTGTAGCCCCCTCTGCACTGGGCATCGACGACCTAACTACTCCCCCCAGCTCCCCTCCCTCTTCTGCGGCAGGGTCGAGTCCCCAGCCCCCAGTGGTGACCGCCTCGTCCCCTGGCACGGCTTCGTCTCTCATTGTGACTGCTGCATCTTTTACCCCCTCTTTCTCTGGGAGGTTCTCAACGCCGTCCCCGCCACAGCCGCACTCACACGATCCCTTCCCGTAATAGTACTTACAACGCCTTGTTTGGTCCCGCTACGTGGGCTAAATACTTTGATCTCCACCATCTGGATTCTACTCCTCCTGACGATTTCTCCCTCCATAAACACCTTGTGGATTCAGTAGATGCCTCTGTTACTTTTAACTCCACTAGTTACGGTACGCGTGTCGTCGCTGCTGCTCCTCAGGATGCAGCTACTCGCTTAGCCGCTTTGTCCTGCGTTGGAGAGACCCCTGTTCAGGTCTCTAAAAACACTCGGTTAAATGCCAGTGTTGGCACTGTTCTCCTCCCACACCATGTTGCAACTGGTGTTCGGGACTTCAAAGATTGCCATAAGGATATTAAACATATCCTCAAAGCCCAAGGCCATTCTGTCCTCCAGGTGGACACGTTTACTCGACCCCCTCGTGGTTGTCGCCGTCAGCCCCTTCGAGTTGTAAAAATCACCTTTGATAGTAGGGCCCTTCCGCCCTCTATTATTCTTGCTGGTGCCAAATGCTACGTTCAGGAGTACATTCCCTCTCCTAGACTTTGCAATAAGTGTTGGAAGTTCGGGCACGGTGTCCTCAAATGCACCAGTACTGTGTATCTGCCCCTTGTGTGGGGACGATAGTCATTCTAAGTCCGAGTGCACTTCTCCCCAGGCTCGCTGCCTCAATTGCGGTGAAGCCCACCCTACCTTCTCACGCTCGTGTATGCACTACAAACTCGAGGAAGACGTCCTCAACTTGAAGCACCGTGATCGTCTGTCTTTTCCTGAAGCGAGACGCCAAGTTCGCTGTCTCACCCCTTTCGCGGGCGTCTCCTACACTCGCATGTTGCGTTCTACCTCTCCTCGTCCTTCCCGTCTTCCTCAGTCTCACAACCGTTTCCAGGCCTTAAACCCGACCACACCCACCACCTCCTCCCCTATTCCTTTGCCTTCTGTCCCGGATAGTCTCCTTCTTGGTTCTCCATCTGGGGTTTCCCCCCTTCCTACCCAGTCCACCATATCTCCTTTGTCTTTTCCCCATCTCCCCCCACTCTTTCTTCCCAACCCTCCCCCCAGTCTCTTGACCCTCCACGCCACCTGTCTGTCCAGGCTGATATCCATCATCCTCCCAGCAATCATCGTGTTTGCTCTCATTCCTCTTCTCCTGATGAGACCTTCAAGTCTGTCGCCCGGTACATTGTTACTGGAACGCCTGTCTCTTCGAGTCAGAAACGTAAGCCTGGCTCCTCTCCTTCTTCCTCTTCGGCAGGCAAGAAAGTTTCGCTTTCTTCCTCACCCCCTCCCTCTGACTCTGTCACTACATCCCCTCCCATTTCAGTGGTCGATCCCCGTCTCTGATATGGAGGTTTCTTCCGCCCCCGATTCCCTCTGTTGCTGCCCTTCCTGAGATGCACTCCCTGATTTCTGTCCCCCTCCTCCAACTGGCCTTGCCTGCCCCTCTCAGTTGTCTACTCCTCCGGACGGGGTCCGGAGGAGGAGTCCTGCCCAGCTCTTGCTGGGGCCCATAACTCTGCTGCTCTCTTAATTCGTTCTGATATTCCCTTCGTCCCCTTACTTCTTCCATCCCCTATCCATTGTTTTGCTGCCCATGTTTTTGTGGGTAAATGGTATACAATCTTTTCCATTTATCTCCCTCCAAATGTCCCTCTTTCCCTTCCTGATCTTAAGCACCTCCTGGACTCCTTGCCAGAACCGGTGCTCCTTTTGGGTGATTTCAACTCTCGACATTCCCTCTGGGGTGATGTTCTGACAAACACCCGAGGCCGTCTTCTCGAACCGTTCGTCCTCGCTTCTTCTCTATCTCTTCTGAATTCTGGTGAGCCCACTCATGTGGACTCTCAAACTCGCACCCTTTCCTGTCTTGATCTTTCTCTCTGCTCATCGTCCCTTTACTTAGATTTCACGTGGCAGGTTCTTGATGACCTCCATAACAGTTATCATTTCCCCATCCTCATTTCCTTTTTCTCTTTCCACCCTCCCCTTTCCTTCCCTAGGTGGCAGTTTGCAAAGGCTGACTGATGCCTATTCACCCTCCGTGTTACTCTCTCTGATCTCTCCTCTCTGCCTCTTCCTCGCGCCCTCCTCCTTTTTTATGACAGTCTTCAACGCTGCCCTCCGTTCTATCCCTCGCTCTTCCTCCCGGGGCACATGGAAGTGTGTTCCCTGGTGGAATGTGGACTGTCCGCTGTAAGTGTGCAGCCTGGAAAAAACACCGCCGCCGGCAGACGGCTGATTCTTTTATTCTGTTTCGGAAGGCAAGTGCGGTGGCCCATAGGACCATCCGTACAGCTAAACGTGAGAGTTGGAAATCGTATGTTTCCACCATTACGTCCGATACTTCTCTACCGCAGATCTGGAAGAAGATCCGCAAGATTGCGGGCAAGTTCATTCTAGATGTCTCGCCGGTTCTCCACCTCCGTGGAACTCTTGTGGCGGATCCAGTGAAGGTCGCGGCCGAACTGGGTTCCCACTTTTCTTCTGTTAGCTCTGGTTCTCATCTTCCTCAATCCTTCCTTCTTCGGAAGCCTGTTCTTGAATCTTATCCTTTAGAATTCCACACTCATCTCCACCTTCCCTATAACGATCCTTTCTCTCTTTCTGACCTTCAGTCTGCCCTGGCCCTCTACGGATCTACGACAACGGGCTCGGATGACGTTCATTATGAGATGCTTCGCCATCTCCCTCCGTGCACGTCTCAGTATTTACTGAATCTAAATTAAACTAAATTAAAACAGTGAAATAAATTAATACGATCAACTAGAAATTAATTACATTTGGAATTTATCTACAAAAATGCCTGTGACTGGATCGAATTCAGATTTTTTGGAGATGTGATCCAATAATATGTTAGAAGGTTTCATTTTAAAGTCAGATTTGAAGAGGTTACACAGTACTGTACATGTAGTATTATACTACTGTATATAGTAAATATACTTTTTTATTTCTACTATAACTGGGTATCAAAAAAGGTAATGAATTTACTAAAATAGGTTATGGAAAGTTTCCTATTTGTTAAGTCTTATCATTATTTTAATACTTTTTCTTCCTTTCCTACAGGAATGTCACAGAATGCATCTCCTAGTCATACTCATTACTAGCAAGGATCCTTTCACCTCAGCAGGGTAACTGTGCGTGTGAACAGAAGCTCACAGTCTTAAGGTGTTACTCTTCTAGATCCTTCCAGTATCTGTATTAAGAATGTCGAAATTCTGGATGATGATGAAGCATCCTTTGCTAGAGAAAAGATAATTAAGTGTCGAAGAGTTGCCTCAGGTTTGCCTGAACTGTAAATGATAAAGTATTCATTTACATAACTTATGACGTGTATTATTTATTTAGATTTTTTTTTTTTTTACAGTAAAATTTTGCTGTTTAGCACTTAGTAATAAGGTGTGCTAATTGTTAATGGCAGGTTACACACTAGGTATAAACATGAATGCTTCACAGTGGTGTAATGCTGGAGAAAATGGAGTGTGAATGTATTAAGGTGTGTGATCTTCCTTCCAGCAGCTTGCTCTAACAAGGTTTTATGGACATATATTGGCGCTCTTCTCTTAACCTTTAGTTCTCCTTGCAACAATCCCCTTCACATGTTCTATTTCAATATTATCCTTCAATTTTTTTTTTTTTTTATATATATAGTTTTTGTGAACCTCGGGTTGGGATACTATTTTACATAAATAATTTTTCCTAAAGTATTTGTTCAATACTTGCATTGTATACTGTACACTTGTGCAAAATAGCAAACTTTTACTGTATTATTTTTTGTTTTGTATTCTTAACCTTCATCTGGTGTAATAGGTTTTTTCTTTGTCACATTAGTGAACTTATTTTTAGGGTTTTCATAAGAGTTTCAAGTACTGCATAGTAGAAGAGAGATTTCTCTAAACATTCCACACATTAGTCTGTGTTGTCTCTGGAAGTGTCTGATAAAATACCGTGTTCCAACTTCAGGGGCAATGTTGAACATTTAGTCTGACAGAACTAAATCAATTTGGCATTATAATTTATGATTACAAATATAGTCAAATTGCACTAGAGGGGTTTCCTCATTTTTCATATGCCAAGAAAACTTTGATATTGTTTCAGTACCTCTCAGACATTGACTAGTAGACAAATATATTTAATTTATTTAGCCTAATAGCATACAAAATGCAAATTTGTGCCAATTGTTTTTTTATGCCTTTTTTTTACTTAATAATCTTAATTGCATTTGATTAAAGGTTATTGAAGTGGAAAGGCAGTGTGTACGTACAGAAGAATATTTTTTCCAGATGTTACCAATGCTTATATGAAGACTTCAGAGATTGCATAACTTATTACCATTATGAATTTAATTGTAGTACGTAAAGGTTTATTTTCCGTACACATTACACAATTTTCTATCATTTTATATTTTGCCTCAATCTGACACTGTGGAGATACTGTACTGTAGTTTTATATTAGATTTTTATAATTGTATTCACATGCATTGTGAATATAAATGGATTACTTTTAATAAATTTGTAATGAAAGTCATTTAGGAAATGAATTGTAGTTTTTTTTTTATTACAGATCATTCAGCACTACAAAACTACTTCATTTAGTGTTATGATTCATTCATAAGATTATGGCATATAATTATACTGTATAATGTATATATTTGAAAATAAGTTGAAGATTATTTTACATCAATTATCTTATTGGACTGAAATACATGTTGGGTATTAGTGTTCAAGGATATCCAATGAGCATAACTGCATATGTTGAACATTTGTTCAGTTTCTTATCTGTGTGTGATTTGCATGCCCTTACTGGAAATGGTATACTTCCTTACAAGCCCAGCTTGAAAGGGTGTGTGAACAAGCTCATCACATCTGTAAATCTTTTATGGTAAAGCATTTGGGTGTTGATAAGAAATATATGTCCATGATGGCATGCTGAACATGGCAATAGTTGCAGAGACATCTGCTGACTTGTGGATCCTAATATATTTATTGTTCTCATTAGATGATATACAGTGTGTGTGTACATCTAGAACTGAGATACTTGGCTGCTAGAAAAATATAATATTGTACTGTATATCCGTTTAGAAAATTTTAGATTTTTTTTTTATAATGCAATATCTAGAATAATCTTTCAGATTATTATTTAAAATTATTATGGTTGAAATGGTAGAGTTAACAAAATGATTGAAAATGGTAATTAAGTCTGCAAAGTTGTCCAATAAAGATTATATACTTCTATGGAGGTGATATTTGAAAATTGTGGATGGTTGTATGACAGCTTTCACCAAAACAACTACTTACCAACTTTGAGCCTATTTTGGGTTCGCCAGTGTGTTCACTGGCTTAATCACAGATGGTAAATAAGGGTTTTATGAAAACAATATTTTCAAAATCTAAAAATTTCTTTAATCTAGAATTTCCTGCCTGCCTGCCTGTTACTGTTCTTCCACAGCAGTAGGCATCCTCATGTATTATCCTCTTTTCTCCACTACCCTCCCTTTTTCCTTGAAAGGAAAGGCCACAATAAAAGCTGTTCTCATGTTGATCTTTCTATATTTAAGACTTATTTTTGAGTTTTAATTTTTGTAATGCTTAATAGATTTTACACTTGTAGAAGGAACACTTTCAGAAATTTGTTTCTTGTTTGAGAGTGGCATTACTTGAGAGCAGAACTTGAGTGGAAATAAAACATAATTTTCCCTTTTGAACACTTCATTACATTTTAAATGAGGCATTGCTGTGAGTCTTTATGCTGCAATGATTCATCTGGTTATAAATAATGTGAGCAATTTCTGCATCCCTGTTATGTCATCATTTGAATGTTATGTGGGTTTAATTAACACTAACCTTAAAACAACACGTGTCAAATTTTAAAGTAGTTGTACTTGAAATTAAAATGTTTTGATTTATATTCAAATTTGAGTTTGGGTGCTGGACATTTTTTGTAACTGACTATAATTGCATCAGTGTGCATTTTTTCTGTCCAGTTTTCTTTATTATTTCACAGGAAGCATTTGAAAAACAAAAAATCCCAGTATGGTTTGTTCCACAATCATTTACAGTTCAATATGCGTTACCAAACCATTGGTTAAGATGGTCAACTTCACCTTCCAAGGGTATTATGAGTTTTTTTTTTTTTTTTTAGGCAGTGCCTCTATATCCATCCAGTAAATATTTGTTTTAATATAAAAAGTTTCTCTGGATTCTTGAATTTTATTTGTTAGTGGTGTGTGCACATTTCTCATATTTGCAGCCGATCTCAAATTTTGTGTTTAGATATTTTCCACTATATTCGCACCTTGTATAGTGTCTAAATGAGGTTGTTCAAGCAGGGCAATACTAACCATTTCTTAATGCAACTTTTATTTTAATGGTGGTTTTACAATAATATAAGGTCTGTGATACTGCTGTACGTGATTTTTTTTTTTTTTTTTTTTTTGTGGGATATACTAAGATACTGTATGAACCCTGTCGGGCAGCTTGAGAAATGGCATTACGAGAGATCTAATTACTACTACCTGTCTTCTTGGTACTGCCCTGCTCATTCTCCCTCACTGTGTCTTATTAATTATCGGAAAATTATGAGGTGTTGTCAGTGTGTAGGCCGTGTAAATAAGAGTTACTGTTGATTATGATGATACCTATTATGCATGTATGAAAATGTAGAGAATATAAAAGTTCCACCATTTAATTTTTTTATTCTTTGGTTTGGTCTTTACCTTTTCAACATATGCCATTTTGAGTTTAGCTTTAGTGACTTATTATGTGGGATTACTATATAAAATAAATTAGCTGTGGGAAAACTTGCTGTAATTAATTTTCATTCTTATTAAGAACTGTCTTTGGGACCTTAGCTATTACTACATTGAAGAGTGATGGGAAGGCAAAACTCAATGAGCATAGCTCTCGTCCTGTAGCTACACTTTGGTAATTACGCTTAATTGACAATTTACACTGGAATTTTTAAACCTACAACTTCAAGAACTAAAAGGTTATAGATTCAAACTAAGGAAATGGATGGCGAAAAAGTAGTTTCCCTCCTTTTGCACGCAGTGGTAGGCAGTTGGAACAAGTAAAGTGAGAAACTAGAAAACTTGCAGTTTCAAAGGTTCGCATGACAGAGCCCTGGAAAGTTGTGGCACCAAGAGCATAACTTTCATCCTGTAACTACACATCCAGTGACACTGATGGTGCTACTTTTTTTTATATATATAATTACACCCACTCAGACACCATTTTAAACTAAGGTATTCCTATATATGCAACTTTGTCATGTCTGGGAATGTAATTTTCCCAAAAGTTGTGCAGGTTTAAAGCATGTCTTCATATATCACGCCATGCCTTCTTTTGATAATTACTTTCCAGGAATGTAATTATAGCGTTACATAATGATCGGTTGTATATACATTGAGAAATGAGTTATACCTCCTAATGTATATACACCCTAGAGTACCAGAAGATTATAAACGGTCTGGCCAATGCCACCCCCTCCCTTTCCAGCCCATTGTCATTGTGAGGGGGATGGGGCCCCCGCTTGGTAATTACCTAATTGTAGTTACAAGATGAGAGCTACGCTCGTGGTGTCCCGTCTTCCCAGCACTCTTTGTCATATAACGCTTTGAAACTACTGACGGTCTTGGCCTCCACCACCTTCTCTTCTAACTTGTTCCAACCGTCTACCACTGTTTGTGAAAGTGAATTTTCTTACATTTCTTCGGCATCTGTGTTTAGCTAGTTTAAATCTATGACCTCTTGTTCTTAAAGTTCCAGGTCTCAGGGCAGCTGTCGGGGTGTGATGCTCCATGAAACAGTCCTCTGTTCTTTTGAAGCCTTATGCTCATGCTGCCTCCTTCACTGATTTTGGCACCAGCAAGAATGACAGGGCGGAAGGGTCCTACCATCAAAGGTGATCTTCACAACCCGGAGGGGCAGACGGCGACGACCATGAGGGGGACGAGTAAACGTATCCACCTGAAGGACAGAATGACCCTGGGCCTCGAGGATATGCTTGATATCCTCGTGGCAGCCTGTTAGATTTCTAACAATATGGTGCGGGAGGAGAACAGTGCCAACACTGGCATTTAACCGAGCGTTCTTGGAGACCCGAACAGGGGTCTCGCTAATGCAGGATAAGGCGGCCAAGTGGGTGCTGCAACCTGAAAAGGAGCAGCAACGACACGGGTACCAAGACGGGTGAGGGTTGAAAGTAATAGAGGCATCAACTGCATCAACAATATGCCTATGAAGGGAAAAAATCGTCAGGAGGAGTTGAATCTGAAGGATGGAGGTCAAAGTACTTAGTCCACGTAGCAGGACTAAACAGAGCATGGTATGAATTAGTATGGGAAGGGAGCATAGGAGAGCGACCGTGGCGGGGACGACGATGAGAACCTCTAGAGAGGTTTTCATTAGGTTCTCATTCACTTAAAGAGGGTCATAAGGCGCTGTAGTCACAATAAGAGATGGAGCCATGCAAGGGGACGAGACGGTCACCACAGCGGGCTTGGGGCTCGACCCAACAACAGAGGAGGGAGGGGAGCAGGGAAGAGGAGTCTGGTCTGGGCCTAAATCGGGCCCTGTAGCGGGGGCTACAGAGCCCGGTCTTCCAGGACAGTCCGACTCAGGGGCCTGGTCGCCCACCCCATGAGCCTGGGTAAGAGAAGTCGTGTCGTCATCCATGCAGCAAGCAATTTCAAAGGTTTGGGACCTGGAACCAAGGGTTACCACCTACCAGGGCAGCCAGGGAGGCCGAGCGTGGGCCAGTGCAGGAAGGGTGCGTCGTCCCCAGCGTGCTCCATCTTTTCAACAGTGGAGTCCTACTACATCGTCCATTCTCCCACACTGGTGCTCAGACCCCATTCCCCCTATCACCCCAGCCTGGATACCCAACCATCCACTCTGGGCGACCCCTCCAGCGGGTGGTGCGATGGCTCACAAGGCCCCTACGTGGTGCCCTTCATCACGTACACCATTCAAAGAGGGGGCAGGAGAGGGGGGGCAAAGGCGACCCACACCGATACCAGGGAGGTGTACTTGAGCCCCTCACCACGGCAAGGAGGCACCAAAGAGGGGTAAACCAAGATAAGGATTCACTTAAGCACCGAAGGCGATTAAATTTAATTAAGATACTTTTACAAGCTCAGGTTATAGTTACATCACAAATATTGTATAATTGATACATTACATAGTCAATCTTGGGTACAAGTCCAATATATCATCAAGTGTTCCAGTATTCATATAGTATTTTACAGTTCAGCATACCTCAGCCCAGGAGGGCTCGTGAGAACTGTGTGGGAAGCCACAGTGTGTGTGACCTACCCTCGGGGAATTGCTTTGGCAACAAAGCAGTGATCAGAATGATTTGTGACATCGCTCCGGATGTTAATTGTAACTGTTGGTGTTATATAGTCATCTTGTGCGCTCTCATATGTCTGTGCTCATACATATGAAGGATTAGTTATTGGGCCGGTATCTTCACTCTGGTATCTTTGGCATCTTGTGCTTCCCATTTTCTATGATGCATACAACTGTTCACTGAACTCGTCTCCACCGCCTGTTCCTCTTTCATCTGCTGAAAGTGTTCCTCTTCATCTTCACAGCCAAACTTTCACTTTCCACTCCCTCCTCCACGCTCATCCCAAACATTAATCCACTCCGCTTCTCGACTGCTGGAGAGACGGCAGATAGCGGGTGAATGGAGATGACATGCAGTAAATCCGGGTTATGATGAGACGGGTTTACCTCATGATCGCTCTTAACACCACTCATTATCCCTTCCACCTCTACCCATCCCATAGTAACCCCGGCCCACTCGCAACCAACCCACAGTTTCTCCCCACATCCTCCTAGATGCCTCCTTCCCTAGATAAGTTGATGCTCTGTCCACAGAGCATTCTCTCTCTCTCTCTCAAATCATTTACACTGATGGTCCCCTACACCGCCCCACGGGTGCAGCTGGAAGTGCAGTTGTCCTGACAATGAGCGATGGCTAATATTTTGAGTAGGGAGTCCGTATAAACAACTGGGCCTCTACCTTTTTGACCGAACTATTTGCCTTGCTTCTTGCACTGAAATGTGTACAAGTCTCCAAAGTTGACACATTAATTGTAAGTGACTCTTTATCATCTTTAATTGCTTTAAACTCTTTAAGACATAACTAACATGCTCGTGTCTGAAGCTAGACACAAATACAACAAAATTATTAATGATGGTAACAGAGTCCATTTCACGTACTCACCTAGTTGTGCTTGTGGGCGTTGAGCTCTTGCTCTTTGGTCCCGCCTCTCAACCGTCAATCAACTGGTGTACAGATTCCTGAGCCTACTGGGCTCTATCATATCTACATTTGAAACTGTGTATGGAGTCAGCCTTCACCACATCACTGCCTAATGCATTCCACCTGTTAACTACTCTGACACTGAAAAAGTTCTTTCAAACGCCCCTGTGGCTCATTTGGGTACTCAGTCTCCACCTGTGTCCCCTTGTTCACGTATCACCTGTGTTAAACAGTTTATTCTTATCTACCCTGTCAATTCCTCTGAGATTTTTGTAGATAGTGATCATGTCTCCCCTTACTCTTCTGTCTTCCAGTGTCGTGAGGTGCATTTCCCGCAGCCTTTCCTCGTAACTCATGCCTCTTAATTCTGGGACTAGCCTAGTGGCATACCTCTGAACTTTTTCCAGCTTCGTCCTGTGCTTGACAAGGTACGGGCTCCATGCTGGGGTCGCATACTCCTGGAGTGGTCCTACATACATGGTATACAAGGTTCTGAATGATTCCTTACACAGGTTCCTGAAGGCTGTTCTGATGTTAGCCAGCCTCGCATATGCCGCAGATTAATTCTTTTTATGTGGGCTTCAGGAGACAGGTTTGGTGTGATATCAACTCCTAGACTCCAATGTGGACTCCATCTCATGTTGGCCTCCGAATGCATGATAGAACTGACGAGTTAGCCAAAGAATCTGCCTTTAAAGGAGAAATTGAGTATAACCTTGGATTGTCAATAAGCAGTCTGAGAGCAATAGTACACCAAGAACTTCAACAAAATCTTGTAAATATGAGGCAAAGTGAAATCGACACCAGTATCACCGGCAAAGTGAAATCGACATCTATCATCATACTATCATACAAGAGGAGCCACACATCTATGGATCATCCAATAAAATCAGCAGACTTCTAGATGTTACTACTGTTCGGCTTAGACTCGGTTACAAGTATCTCTGGGAATTTTCATTATATGCTGATGTAGACCTGACCAAATGTAAACTGTGTCAACAAAATTATTCGCACACCCTCCGTCACTATGTAATGGAGTGCGAAAAGATACGTGAATTCAGAGACAATTATATAACAAATGTTCCCAAGATGTGTAAATATTTAATTCAAAATTATCTGCTACCAGAAATTTTAGCTAAATATCCCCATTTTGCTAACTGTAGGTAGTAACTAAGTGATTGTAACCTATTCACCGCTGCCCACTGGATGGGGGGGGGGCGGTTACCTTGAGGTGATTCCGGGGCTTAGCAACCCCGCGGCCCGGTCGTTAACCAGGCCTTGGTTGACGACCTCGGTGTGCAAGACAAACATATAAATTTTGACACTAGCTCTCCACATATGTCAGTTGCTTAATTTAGAAACTGTACTTTTGGTCGATCTCTAACCCATTGTTGATGTGATGACGTATATTGAAT